GGGGGAGATTTTTTTTATCTGTTTTCCTACTGTTTCTTTTATCTTCTTAGTCTTTTTTCTGTCTACTTGCTTGCCTTTCCTCGTCTGCCTACTGTTACTCTTCTGGCTGTATTCTTGCTTTTCCGGCTGACGTAAACAACCATCATGATGTCCAAAAACTCTGCTCGGTGAAAAAAAACGACAAATTAAATTATTATTGTATTGTAGAATACATACGAAATATGTGTAAAAAAATAAAAGTGCAATGAGCGTGTGCGAATATTATGTATAAATATATACCGTATACATATACATGTGTGTGTGTGTATGTGTGTGCATATGACATATGTGTTATAACATAATATGTGTTTGTGTGGGGGTGGGTGGGGGTGTTTGTGTATGTAGGCTAAGTGTGCAGACGTGTATGTTGGTGTGTTTTCGCGGGTGCATTGTGTGGGTACGCGTGGTTGGCGGAAGCTGTGGTGTAGTTTTCTCCTTCTTTCCTATCAAACATCTATCGTGGTTATCTCTCCTCCTTCTTTTTTTTGTGTTTACTACTCTCTTGTAACACTTCTAATTTTGCCAGTTATATGACCTAATTGTGTCGCAAGTACCGTAAAACGCTTACTTAACAAAAACCAAAAACGTGAGCAATGTGGATCTGTTGCAGCATGATACCAAATGGAATTATTTGTTTTTGTCATTTGTTTTTTGCATTGATCTCTTGATTCCAAATTGTTTTGGATTTGGTTCCAGCGTCAGTTTTATGTTGTCTGTTTTCAAAATTTAAACTGGCATTGCATATAGTGCATGTTATATTTTTGCCTTTCAATTGATTGATATAGGTAGCGCAATTTTCGTCAACAGTTACAATAATTAAATAACAAATCGCCCAAGAAACGCCATTAGAACATTGTATAATTTGTAACTCACGCTTAGATACGTTCGCCAAATTGTCAAATAGTGCCGCGGTTTGTTTTGGAATTGTGGGGGGGGGGGGGGTTGGGGGGGGTTGGGGGGGAGGGTGTTCCTTTTTTGGGGGGTGGGCAATAAGGACGTGAGAAAATACGTCTGTTTCAAGCCCGATTTGTTTGTTTTACTTTTTCTTATAGTCGCGTTAGATTTAAATTGGATACTTATGGGTGCTGTTACAAAAAGTTATACTACCATTGTATTCTCTTTCGTCAGCATTTTATAATGGACGATATTTCGCGTAAGCTGCGTGTTATCAGTTACGATATAGACTGTGTCCTATTCTGCAAATAACATGTAAGAACTGATCACGCTACCTCAGAACTACTAAGTTCTGTCTGACATTTTTGACAGTTTTGAAGTGGTAAAACCGAATGATCTATCTGCTCGAAAAAAATCGTAAGATTATCCGTAGTCCTTATCAAGATATTCAAAGAATTGGATTCGA